TGCAGTGCACTCTGCCTCGTAACCAGGGTCTTGAAGGCCCTGTGCAGTCGGTGCGAGTAGGCCCTCACCGACTCGTGTTGGCCCTGTACCACCATCTGAAACTGGGCCATGAGCTGCGGTACTCTCCTCTTCTCGCCGTACACCTCTCTGAGGAGCCTGAGGGTGGCTTCTGGGTCGTGCTGCAGGTCATCACCCCTGCAGCTCAGCTCCTCTCTCACCGCTTCCCCCAGGTACTGCCAGAGGAGGTCCTTCCTCTCTTCTACTGAGAGGTTTCCCCTGGCCCTCCAGAGGGACTGGACCTCTTTGATGAACCGGTCCACCTCATAGCCATGGCTGTCCCCATGGAACCTCCGGATTAGGATCTCCCTGGGTGGAACGATGATGATGGTTGGTGCCGCCATCTCGTCCGAATTGGGTGTTTTAAACAACAAACGGTTCATACACTAAACAAAAACTAAACACAAATGGTTCCATAAAGGGCCTATCAAGAAAAAAATTTATCTAAACTAACCTAGTCCTAACAGAAAAACAAAAATTTAACTAGACTAAAGCACTGACCCCACTCGTGCTACCAATTTGTAAGCCCTGCTAGGGGGGGGGGGGGGATACCTTATATCTATTGTCCGGTCAGTGCAAGCCCGGCTAAACCCAGGCTGGTTAATAACCTAACCTTAGTCTAAATAATAAGTTACTAAAATAAAACAAAAACTTTTACAGTTAATAAAATTTATTTAACAAAATAATAAATATGGAACCAAAAGTTATTATAAAAAAACCAGAATCTAGATCTAGACAAAACACTCAAGACGTACAAAACAAACAGAACTCAACGAAACAAAACACCCAATTTCGGACCACCGTCGTTACCATACACCATATAAAGGTGTCACAGAAACTCTTTAACACACAGGCCTCGACATTCCAGCAGAACGTCCCTCCCTGTCGACACCCCACATTCACGAACAAAGAACTCAATACTACGAACAAAGAAACCAAAGCTACGCACAAGAAAATAGTCCCTAATACAACAATAACTTACATCAGTGGCGGAACTAGAAAAATTGGGCCACCCCGCAAAAAAATTTTTTGGGCCCCCCATATATATATATATATATATATATATATATATATATATATATATATATATATATATATATATATATATATATATATATATATATATATATATATATATATATATATACATATATATACAAACAATACGGACATAGGATACTCCTTTCTGGACTGATCGGGTTTTGAAAAAAAATTTCAATTTAATCTAATCACACCAACATGTCATGTGTATGAGTGCATTGGTCTGTTTTGAAAATCTCTGTTTTCATTTATGTTTAATACTTCTAATAATTAAGTCGGTCAAAAGTATATAAACCATGAAGCTTTGTATAAGTAATGGTGTCTCGTGTTATGTTTATTTTTATGTTTTTTTTTGTATTTATATTATTAATTTTAACTACGTTTCATTTCTATACTATACCATTCTTTAGGACATATTTTTTTAAACTAATAATTAAGACCAGTAATTGCTGTTTAATTTGAATTTTACAAATCTATTAAAAAGAGCTTTTGAGCAACCCTTATTGACTATTTGAAAAAGGGAAATAATTTATGGAAGTGGTTTGAGCGTTTTCCTATCATTCACACTACAGCAAATGTGTATTTTTTTTTTTACATTTTTTTAACGCAATAGCATGTCTTAGCTACTATATAACATCACTACTGTATTAGATCTGTTATCTGTTTGTTATTTACGAAACCACTATCAAGGTGCCAGTGACGAAACTAATATATATATATATATATATATATATATATATATATATATATATATATATATATATATATATATATATATATATATATATATATATATATATATAATTCGTGTATTTATTTGAGACTTTTGCCTTGTTTTCTAGAACAGTGGTTATTAAACTTAATCAATGTCGGCACTTTATTTCTTGGATATTAGTTGTTGGAGCGTTAGCTTGTCTACACTACCACCAATACGAGCCAGCTTAGTTGTTGAGGATCTATCTATTAGCTTCTTGTAAGACTAAGAGCGGGAGGGGAGGTCTGAGCAGAGCGGATGGTTGGCCCTAGGCCCCGCGTATTTCAAAACAGACCAATGCACTCATACACACGACATGTTGGTGGGATTAAATTAAATTGAAATTTTTTTTTCAAAACCCGATCAGTCCAGAAAGGAGTATCCTATGTCCGTATTGTTTGTATATATATGTATATATATATATATATATATATATATATATATATATATATATATATATATATATATATATATATATATATATATATATATATATATATATATATGTATGTATGTATGTATAAAGGCCTATATAATGTGATGTACACATAATAACACAAATGTTTTGGAGTTTATAAGCTAATGTCAAACTTTCCACTATAATAACAGATTTTTATCTCTTCCATGTATTAACCCAATGTTCGTAGTTTGTTTTTTTCCTTTGCTAAGATATTAAATCACTTTTAACAGTTATGTAATTCATACCAAATCACTTAAGAAAATTTAATCACGTGCCGAATAATTAGGAAAATAAAGTTTACAATACAGCGAACTCGGCCTGATGTATCAAAACAGTATAGACTTCAAAATTTGTTTAGAATTCATACAATATTTTAAAACCAAAATCATTATTGTCTTAATTATTGAAGGGGTGAATCCTTAAGGTGACACAACATAACAACAGTTTTAACTTTCTTCCAAAAAATAATAATAAATCTCTCTGTTTAATGCCGCCTGATATAGATCCTAAGGCCCCCCCCCTCCTCGTCGCCCTCCTCCCACCCCTCTGCACGCAACTGAATGTTAATTTTGTTATACCAAGACAAGTAGGCCTACATATATATAGTGTCCGCACCCCCCCCCCCCGAAGAAAGTCTACCGCCCACCCCCCCCGAAAATTTCAAGTGCCCCTCCTCCCCGGAGAAAAAAGTCTGGAAGAAACACTGTACATATACGACATTATACGACATCTACAACAAGAAAGTCAGGACTAGAGTTCATCAGGTCACTAACTGTCTACTATAGACATCCCGTCTGCTCACGAAAAGGACGTCTTCATCGGTCCGCATACAATAGGGTATCTCTTTACGTCGTGGGCTAATTCTCGACCGCCATCTCCAGTCAGCTCAGGTCAAATGCCAGGCGACCGTACCCTACACAAAGGGTAGGTGTGACACTATTTTTGTATCGAATTACGGCCTGTCCCAGTTCAGGTGGGACTCACCAACATCAACCGTGGCCTCAGTTATAACAATCAACAACGTCGGCATTCGACCATTTAGTTTTTCCCAATTGAATTCAGCAACAATCTTTTTAAGTTTACAAACTAATTCAGATAACAATGACATTGCTGAAGCGCGGGGCCCCTTCAAGCGCGGGGCCTATGGCGACCGCCCCGTTCGCCACCCCCTAACGCCGGCTCTGGGTCTGAGAAAGGAACTTAAAAGGGACAACAAAGCACCAATGTGCTTTTATCCATCAGTACCAAATTTGGGATGGTCTCAAAATGCCGTCTTAATATCTAGCGGCCTCTCGCGCAATTGATGTTTTTTCAAAAGAATTTTGCCGACAACAGCGTGTGTTTGATTGTAGGAAAAAGAATATACAAGAGCGTGGGATGGTGTCTATAGAATAAAGATACTCCAACCGCAGCTACAGTATTCTTTTTTCAAAACAACCATCAGGTCAAAAATGCAAGAAAATTAATTTTAACTATAAAAAAATGATTATGGGCGGCTGTGGGCCCCCTAAACGGCTTGGGCCCCCCCGCATTGCGGGGTCTGGCGGCACTGTAGTTCCGCCCCTGACTTACATTCAGGACATAAAGCAAAGTGGAGCAACAATTCAAAACAAAGTTTGCATAAATAATAACATTAAAATATAAACAAGACACAATAACCAGGCTACAAACCATTGTAAAATCGAAATCATATCAGCGCCATAATAGCGGACTACTTAACTAAAAACCACAACAATCCTCAAAGGAACATAAAAAGCGACATTCGCCTTCTTAGTTACAAATAATTATAATAACAGATAAACACACTCCAGCCGCTCACATTTATATCTCTCTCGTCATTTTCACGCGAAAACTGTCTCAAGTTGTGAGGTTCTACTATCCAGATAAAATTAATATGGACAGTCGAGCATGTATGTGTGATCAATCTAAAAACCTGGTTATTGACAGATTTTTGCATTTATTAATGCATGGGGACATAGGCCGCCGACAAGAGCTTTCTCTGTCCTGGGCTAGTCTCTCCAACTGTCACCAGGTGAATCCAGTCTTCTTTGTGTCATCTTCCAGGTCTTCCTTAATCCGTCTTTTTTTCTTTTGCCCTATGGATTCCACGTGAGGGCCTGTCTTTTTACAGGCTTCCTGAGTGTGTGGCCAATCCATCTCAATTTTCTCTGGAAGATCTATCCTTCAGCTGACAGTTGTTAATCATTGCGCATATATTCAGGAATGCTAGGAATTTTATCTAGAAGTGTAGTTTTCAATAATGATATTCCTATTGTACTTTTTGTGTTTATATTTCTTTGCTGCGAATACTGAATTGCTGAATAATGCTTAAAATTTGAAATTTGAAATTTTAAAGTCAAAATTTACTCTACAGTTTCTATGCTTGTAACTTTATGTGTGTATTTGTTTGCCAGTCAAGCAGTCAACTACTGTTATTTCGCAGCGAGGCGGTCAATGATTCATCAAATCTAGAGTTGGGTGGAAAGATCAGAATTGTTAAAATAATTGATCCAGTATGTATCACACCACTGACTAAAAATAATCCAGCAAACTTCGCTAATCAAGCAATTTAAATGTGTATCCCCATCCTATAAACATCCCATATAACGAAAGTTGAGCAGAAAGTGATGTTGATGTCATATTTTAAGCACGTCTTTCATACTAGTCATATATAAAAAAAATCAAACATAATTTTGTAAATATTTATTGCGCAATGATTTAGACAAACAGACGGCTCTTTCTTCAAGGAGTTCCATCAGTAAGCAGACGTTAGGGTCAAGCACTTTAGTAGTAAAGGCCTTTACCTGTAAAAATAAATAAATTGTGTTATTATTAGCGTACTTTAAAATATTTTAATAAAATATTACTTTAATGTATGTTCTAGATTGCAGGAATGTTACATGTAGAGGCATATTTCTGATGTAAGTAAAGAACAGCAATACATTACAGTACAACACATTACAGTACAACACATTACAGTACAACACATTACAGTACAACACACAGAATACAACATCCTACTGCCGCCTAGTGTGAACGTTTAAAAAACCTACCGATTAATCCAAGTCTGCCATAGCCGCCAAGACCGCCGAATCCACCAAGACCGCCGAATCCACCGATTCCACCGAATCCGCCGATTCCACCGAATCCACCGCCAAATCCACCAATACCGCCGAATCCGCCAATACCGCCGAATCCACCGCCGATTCCACCGAATCCACCGATACCGCCGAATCCACCGATACCACCGAATCCACCGCCGATTCCACCGAATCCAAGACCTCCGTATCCAAGTCCACCAAGTCCACCAAGACCACCAAGACCACCATAGAAGCTGGCTTGGGCGTTCATGGCAAGAACGGCGAGGGCGAGAACGGCGAATACGATTTTGTTCATGGTCTGAAACAGAATTGGGAAACCCTACATTAATTAATGTGCTCCTGAACTTAAGTTTGAAAATTTCTTTTTTAAAAACTCTAACGAAAATAAAGCGTACTTCTTTACACTTTAAATTACTTTCATGTGTATATTGCTATAAAGTCCAATATTAAAATCCATTTTTCAAAGCATGTTTGTGAAAAATAAAAATACTCACGAAAGTTTAGGTTTGACTACTGTGTAGGACAGATGTGTCTAGCAGTCTTGCTGGTTGTGATGGCGGTGTTTGGTCACTGGATGACTTCCCTTTTATACCATTTTTGTCTGAGATAGCGACAGGGAAGCAACTCTAGCTCTAGGCCTATGGATGACAGCCGGAAAGCTCCACGTTACACAACTCTGGTGTTTTGACGCTGAACCAATTACCTAGTTTAATTAAAATAAAAATATTAATTAACGATCAATTGACATTTTTACCTGTCATATTTTCTTGATTTATTTTACATGATGCATTTGTTTTCGTGAAATCAATCATGCAACTAATCATACATATAAAACAAATAATGAGTTACTGAATTTGGTTAATTTACATACTATGTATTTGCAATATTTTTACCTATTCGCATTTTTAATTATACATTATATAACCAAATTATTTTATAACTGGGAGAAATAATAGTTATAATGTTATTTTTGGAACTATAGTTTTATTTTGTTTTGCGTTTATGGCCTAAGGCAGATACATTTCATAAGACACACACACATTCACACATACACACACGCAAACAAACGAATGTATGCTGATACAGGTGTTGATAATATATTAATAAAAGTGTTGATACTGACAAGGATGTTGATACAGGTGTCGAAACGGACAGGTATATTGACGCAAGTGTTGATATTGGCAGAGATATTGTTACAGATGTTGATAAGGCAGGGACGTTGATAAAAGGGATTCTACTGGTCAGGTTTTTGATACTAGCAGGGATGTTGATACAGGTTCCGCCTGTAAAAAAAGTTAATGAATAAAATATAGATTCTACAAGTTTTAAACGTTACAGATGTTGATACTGGCAAGGGAGAACACTTGGTAAATAACATCATAATGACCACCAGGAGTTGTAACCCCTGACTGCTGACTAGACATGAAAGCAGAAAAAATGGGTCTTAAATTTTGATAAAAGCGTTGATACTGGCAAGGATGTTGATACAGGTTCCGCCTTCTTTTGAAAAAGAAAAAAAGTAAATGAATGAAATAAAGGTTCTACAAATTTTAAACGTTACAATCTTATAAATACTTTATTTCACCATCATTTGATGGATGTAACAAAAAAAGCATCAACTTTCCTTCTGTTAGATGTTAGCTTGCATAGGTTGCAGGGTTTCTTTCAGACATTGCTGCTGGAATTGAGTGGGGGGAGCGCTAAAAATTTTAAAATGCATGTATTTTGTTTATAAATTATATTTTTTCTATTTCGTCCAGGCGGGAATGTCCCTACCACCCCTCCTCCCGATAATACGTCTGAAAGAAACTGATAGACTTTAAAGAAAATAAAAGATAACATGAAGGCTGGTACTGGTAGAAATTTGTTATCCAAAAACGTTCTGAAGTTCTCTTGGTGCAACTAGGTCGGTCAAGACATCCCAGCAACTTTAGGACGGCAGACACTGTCTACCACGGTTAGAATCACATCATCGCTGCCCTTCATCCCTGTTGGGGTATGGGCCGCCAACCAAAGATCTCCAGAGTCCTTTGTCTTGTGCCATTTTCTCCAATTGAAGCCATCTTTGTGGTCTGAGAAAATAATGCCAATGTTTACTTCAAGCCAAATAATTTTGAATTTTGCATCAGTTATAAAATAGACCGATTTAGTCGATCAAACTAAGCCAAAATATTGAAGTAAAATATTTATTTTAATTTACGTATATTACTTTTAAAAAATCTTTTGGTATCATTAATTAGTTTACGATTATAGATAAATAAATAGGTGGTGCATTAATCGGCAAATCATACAAGTGTCAAAGTTATTCACTCATAATAATAAATTTTGGCATGTTTGTATGTAGCAGGATAGCCAAGACGATTAGATGTTAGCTGGTTCTATTTCATCTGAAAGGTGTGGGTTCGAGTCTTATGTTGGCTCTCAAGGTAGACAATATAGATTTAATCGATCAGTTTACAATTATAGAAAAGTTTAAGATAATTGGATGGGGTAAAATGGGTGGGGTTAATGAAATAAATTGGTAAAATAATGGTCGTTAAAAAAGTGAAAGATGATGAAGAAATAAATTGGTAAAATGGGTGGTGTTAAATGAAGTAAATTGGTAGTAGTGTAAGGGCGGTGGTAGTGGTGTAAGGAAGGTGGTAGTGGTGTAAGGGTGGTGGTAGTGATGGTGGTGGTGTAAGGGTGGTGGTAGTGGTATACGGGAGGTGGTAGTATTGTAAGAAAGGTGGTAGTTAAGTTAGTGGTTTAAGGGAATGTAAGGGAAGTGGTAATGATGATAGTGGTGTAAGGGAGGGAATAGCGATGGTAGTGGTGTAAGGGATGTGGTAGTGGTGTAAGGAAATAGTGATGGTAGTGGTGGTAGTGGTGTAAGGGAGGTGGTAGTGGTGGTAGTGGTGTAAGGGAGGTGGTAGTGATGGTAGTGGTGTAAGGGAGGTGGTAGTGATGGTAGTGGTGTAAGGAATAGTGATGGTAGTGGTGTAAGGGAATAGGGATGGTAGTGGTGTAAGGAATAGTGATGGTAGTGGTGTAAGGGAGGTGGTAGTGATGGTAGTGGTGTAAGGGAATAGTGATGGTAGTGGTGTAAGGAAGGTGGCAGTGGTGTAAGGGTGGTGGTAGTGGTGTACGGGAGGTGGTAGTGATAGTAGGCCTATTGCTGTAAGGCAGGTGGTGATGTTAGTGATGGTAGTGGTGTAAGGGAATAGGGATGGTAGTGATGGTAGTAGTGTAAGGGGATAGGGATGGTAGTGGTGTAAGGGAATAGTGATGATAGTGATGGTAGTGGTGTAAGGGAGATGGTAGTGATGGTAGTGGTGTAAGGAAATAGTGATGGTAGTGGTGTAAAGAAATAGTGGTGTAAGGGAGATGGTAGTGATGGTAGTGGTGTAAGGAAATAGTGATGGTAGTGGTGTAAAGAAATAGTGGTGTAAGGGAGATGGTAGTGATGGTAGTGGTGTAAGGGAATAGTGATGGTAGTGATGGTGGTGATGGTAGTGATGGTAGTGGTGTAAGGGAATAGTGTTGGTAGTGGTGTAAGGGAATTGTGGTGTAAGGGAGGTGGTAGTAGTGTAAGGGCGGTAGAAGTGTTGGTAGTGGTGTAAGGGCGGTGGTAGTGATGGTAGTGGTGTAAGGGAATAGTGATGGTAGTGGAATTAAGGAAATAGTGATGGTAGTGGTGTAAGGGAGGTGGTAGTGATGGTAGTTGTGTAAGGAAATAGTGATGGTAGTGGTGTAAGGGAATAGTGATGGTAATGGTGTAAGGGAATAGTGATGGTAGTGGTGTAAGGGATGTGGTAGTGGTGTAAGGAGGTGGTAATGATCGTGTGTGATAATAATAATAGGGGTGTGAAAATATGTGAACATTGGTAAAATTAGTTTTAAAAAGGTGACAAATATGTTCGTTTTCAACTAAAATATTCGGTATTAACCCACCCCTTCCTTACCCCTAGTCTTAACAAACAAAAATTACATCACTCAGGAAGAACTAGTGTAATAATAAGGTGGCCGGGGTAGTAGTTTAAGGACAGTGGTGGTAGTGGTGTTTTAAAAATTTCATTACCAAATTTTCTTTTTACTTTTACTGTATCCATTGTCATTGGGGGGAAAAAAGCTTGCAATATATTTTAATTAATTAACATTCCATAGTCATTATACAAGTCTATACAAATATTCTTCTAATTAGTTTAGCCAATTAGTCTAATTAGTAGCCACCTTGAGCATCGGATGCTACCATCAAATCGCCTCAAGACTTCCTTCATATTTTAAAAATTGAGCACGAGTGATCGGAAACTTAAAAACTTTTGACACATTCAATGTTTTTCCTAACTAGTAATTAATCTTTTCACTAAAACACCACTGAACTTTTTAAAAAAAATTCATGAAAGATCTTTCTAATGAACTTTTTGTGAACATCCGTCTGTCAAACCACAGGCCTGGGGCTACACAAGGCTGATCACTGATGGACTGGCCGGCAGCTGTAGTTCCCTCATCATGGGCTACAACAGTATAAATAGCCACACGGGTTACACACGGATACACTTCTGTCTTTAACGTGAAGCCTGTAGCCCACACTCTCGTAAGTTGATTCTGGCCTTTTCTGCTTTTTTTTCTGTTTAAGATATACATCAATTTTTTTTATAGTCAATCTTTTTTAGCTTTGAGAGATTAAGTCTTTACATTTCTGATTGAAGTCATTGTAAATGATTCCGGAAATAAAAATAAAATATGATATTTATAAATATAAATAAATAAATGAATAAATAAATAAATAAATAAATAAATAAATAAATAAATAAATAAATAAATAAATAAATAAATAAATAAATAAATAAATAAATAAATAAATAAATAAATATATATATATATATATATATATATATATATATATATATATATATATATATATATATATATATAATTTTACTACGATTTTAATTTTTTAATTTAAATTTCCATGTATTTCTAATTCTTATCTGTAAGCCTTAATGTATTAATGCCTTAATGTATTAATGCATTACTGAGCGCAGGAAAGTTTCAGAATAAGTTTCAGAATATTTCTTAAATTTTCCAGACCATGAACAAAATCGTATTCGCCGTTCTCGCCCTCGCCGTTCTTGCCATGAACGCCCAAGCCAGCTTCTATGGAGGTCTTGGTGGTCTTGGTGGACTTGGTGGACTTGGATACGGAGGTCTTGGATTCGGTGGACTCGGTGGATTCGGCGGTGGATTCGGTGGTATTGGTGGATTCGGTGGAATCGGCGGATTCGGCGGTATTGGTGGATTCGGCGGTATTGGTGGATTCGGCGGTATTGGTGGATTCGGCGGTGGATTCGGAGGACTCGGTGGATTGGGCGGTCTTGGATACGGTGGTCTCTACGGGGGAATAATCGGTACGTTTGGTGTTGGGCATGGCTTGTGGTTTTTATAATAACATTCGAAAACCATTATAAATTGTTTTTAGTAACTTTTTAAATTAAAATAAACAATAACCTGATAAAGCTCACGTATCTATAATATTTATAATTCTATTATATTTGCTAAAGTAATTTCAAAATCACACTTTAAATAAATTTAATTTTATATTTCTCACAGGAAAAGGACTTTACTATTAACTTGTGGAGTCAAGCAAAGTCCGTGTTAAAACGTTATAGACAACTTCGTAACTCGTCCATATGTTGAACTATAAATAAATTATTTTTATTAAATATTGTGTCTTTGTTTGCATCATTTTTGTGTAGTTCAAACTTTAACATAGAAGAGAGAAAGAATAATTGTTGCATTGTTTGTTTTATATATCAAGCAGGACGGGCTACTTATATTAATTTACGGTGAAACATTTTTTCAGTCAAGATCAGGGGTGGACCGGCCCGCCGACCTACCTCGAAAATTCCCCCGGGGCCCCCAGGAATGGTACTGTAAAAGGCCTGTTGGTGCTGTTATTTTTTTTTAATGTTTGTATTACTTCATTTATACCATTTCTATTGCTTCACACAAAGGGTTAACATTCATTGTGATTTGGATTTAAATGAAAATTTAAATTTGAAAAATTTCCCGGGCCTCTTGGACACTGCCAGTCAACCCCTGGTCAAGACACAATAATCGTCACCAAAACACAATAAACGTCACCAAAACACCATAAACGTCACCAAAACACCATAAACGTCACCAAAACACCATAAACGTCACCAAAACACCATAAACGTCACCAAAACACCATACTCGTCACCTTTATAATGTACCGATACTGGAGTGTGAACTGTATACAAGTAAAATCAGGCTTGGCTTAAAATGTCTTAATGAAGATTTACACCATCTGTGTATAGTTAGCCTCATGGTATAATTAATGTGCTAATGAGACCAATGAGTCTAACACAATAAAGCTTCCCATATCGGAACAGTGTGTCTCATCAAGTAATTGTGAGTACTGATCACAGCATCTTGTATCTACTCATCATCAACAACTTGTAACTCTAATGTCAGACAGAATGGTCACCATGTACAAAATAACCTAAGCCCTTTAACCGGTGATAATCAGCAACTTATGTAGCAACTATCGCGATAGGAAAATGGTCAGCCAAGATTTATATTCAACATTTCCTTTCCTTTTACACCTTGTGTCAAGTTTATATTTAGTTCCAAAACACTAGTCATGCCTTAAATTTAAATATCTTTTAGAGTATATGCTCTAAAACAGCCTTGAACATCTTTTCAAAAAATTTTACTTACAATTTTAAAATCCGGATTATTGTTTTTAAATAAATTATATGACATACAGAACCCATAGGGGAAAAGCATACCTTTTGCATTTCGTCCATCCCTAATTAAGATAATTAAATGGAGTCATGACCTGGTCTAATGATGAGACACGCAGATTCTCTACCACATCAAGTCAAGCGTGTAATCTGATGGGTGACATTCCCCCATCAATCACTAAGTACAGATTTAGCGTGTTCAATGTTTAGTTTAGTTTCACCATCCCACACATAGACCTTACATGTATACAGCTCATTCAATTTCATTTGACTCTAGATTCCAAAATAAAACGATATTGATTTTTTAAGTCTATCAGTTTTCAAAATATTCCGTATCGAGTTTATGCAAAGGCTTGAACGTTACACCATGGTTGGAGACATGGAGAGGACAGCTTTGTCTTGAAGTCCGAAACAGCTGTTACATAACCTTAGCGCAATAGCTCTGTCAAACCAAGAGACTTATTTTATTGAGTCATGGCATTTTGTTGCACCTAATAAGTTCTGAAGTTTTGTAAGCACAGTGTTGAAAAACATTGGACGAACTTTCAATAATTTTATCACAACAAACAGAAAAACGTTTGTCTTAACTTTCATTTTTATCTCAATAAACAGACTAACTTTCAATAATTCAACAACAATAAACAAAAACCATGCACAAAAACAATAATAAGTCGTATACAGTTTGACGTTTTTCAAAACTTTATTCTTGAAAAGTTACGAAAACGTCAAACTTAAAAAAATAAAAATGTTCAGATCAGTATCGTAGATTAACAGGCCCAGACAGCATCGTGTTTAGTAGTAGAGGCCTTTGTCTGAAATATCAAAACAATAAGTTCAAGCATGTTTTAATATTTGAACAATTAATTTTTTAAAATACGTATTTATTTTAATGTTAAGCATCCCGTGGTAATTGCAATTTGTATACTTTATTACATCTCGTTACCGGATATATCTTGTTTAGATCATATACAAATAGACAAAACATAGTTAAGTATACAAAAATTTTATGTCTTTATCTGAACTTGCCTAGTAGTGTTTCTAGCAGTTCTGTTATCGTGATTTGTTAAATAATTAACAAAATGTAATTAAATATTCATTATTAGTAGCTAAAAATGTGTGCTTGTATATTTTAAATTATTTTTTTGGAGAAAGTAAAGCTCAATGAACAACTTACAAAATGGGAGACCATATCCGTATCCAAGACCTCCCCATCCGAGTCTGCCCAGTCCCCAACCTCCAAGACCGCCGTATCCAAGACCGCCGTATCCAAACCCACCGAATCCAAGCCCACCGAATCCAAGCCCACCATATCCAAGCCCACCGAGTCCTCCAAAACCAAGACCACCATAGAAGGAAGCTTGGGCGCTCATGGAGAGCACAGCGAGGGCAAGAACGGCAAACACGAGTTGGTTCATTTTCTGGAAATAAATAAATCAATAAAAATGCATCACTTTGTACAAAATTATCTTTTAAAATATACGACAACTATAAAAACAGCGTTTTTGTTTTAGCTTATGCGTATTGGTTGATTGAAGTTTATCAATATAATAAAATTATATATATATATATATATATATATATATATATATATAATTTATTACGATCGAAATGCTCGAATGTAGTATAATTAACATAAAAGTACTAAGCAAGAATTCTAGTCAAGTGTTGGTCAACTCACGCGGGCAGTTAGCTCGAGGGCAGCTGGCAGGTAGCAAGCGATGACGATACCCAGCTCAGGTACAGCCGTCTTTTTATACCCCAGGCCTACCTGGTCAGGTCAAACTTGACATGACCCGGGGCATCTCTTGACAGCAGGTAATTCTTATTTCAGGAAGTTTAGCCTGGGAAATTACACTTTTCTAATAGTTTTGATGGACGTAATTAGGAGTTAATTAATTAGTGGAGCTAATTAATCAGGGGCGTATACGAGTGACAACCGCATTTTAACTTTCAACCTCGGGACAACTTCCCAGAAATTTAAAAAAAAATTAAATACATTGCACAATAAGTCAATTGTTACATTGCCAAACATGAAAAAATGACAAGAAAATGAACATCTAAAATAATTTATCGAAGTGACTACTCGGAAAATGGTTTTTCGCCCCAGTTTCTCCATCTGGTCGGCGGAAGATACGAAACTCAATAGTTCTGCGCATACGCAGTGACCTTAATAGGGTTAGGGTTAGGTTTAGGCCTATATTTATTTCTTGTACACAAACCACGCAACTCAGTACGTTATTATCGAACCACAGTCCGTGGCGTGTACAGGGGGGAAGTTTTAAGGAAGTTAGTCCGTCCCCCCACCTTCACTCCATGGACCGACAAAATTCAATTAGACTCAGTACTCACGTTCAGCTACATCTGCTAAGCTCATGTTGCCTCATGCTTACACCATTACGACAGGTTTACGTTCTTAAAATTGTATTGGTGTGTTTAAACCCGACACCCAATTACTAATTGCTTACACCACATAGGCGCTAGCCTATCTCACTGTATCTTGAAACAGCAGATTTGTCTTCAAATATAACACATTTTTATACCCTTAATAACTTACAAATTGTCTATTCAAAGCTGTAAAAACATGTAACACCCCTTGATTTACCAAATGTGTTTAGTGTTTCTGGACTACATGTTTATGCTGATAGACCTATTTCGTTGTGCAAACAAATAGATAAATAATAAATAGAATTTTAAAATATATCTGTTGCTTTTAAAATACTCCGTATTTTATAACACAAACAAGTCATTTTTTAAATCTGATATATTAAAATTAAGATCGTTAGATTATTCAGTTAGCATATTAAGTAAACATAAAATTAACTTAAAATGAACTACACTTATTTTGTAAAATAATGTTTTCATTTTTCTTATAAAATACCGTGTTTTTTGTTTGAAATCTTTTTAATCTAAAGCGAAGCACATTATGATGAAGATGAAGATGGCGATAGCACAGGTAACAGATCAGGTACTGAGTACGCCAGCACTTAGTTCCTCCTGTACCAACCAATCGTCTTTAAGTCGACGCCTCTATTTTTGCTGGACACATTTTTAAAAATGTCCAATTTGATAAAAGTTTTACTAATTGAAATTACTTTAAAAACTTCGTACTTGCCCCATGGTAAAATATTTCACTCCATAGATCAAACGAAGCTTCTAGAAAATAACAAAATGTACCAGTTAGCAGCCAATGTGTACATCAAACATCAATAATTATGTGAAAATGTATGAGCTGTCATTTCATGAAATCTTGACCTGTCAGTCCAATAGCCACAGGCTAGTAGCGAGGGTTTAAATGGAACTTGTAACACAAGGGCAGGTCATGTCCATCGTTACGTTCAACCCGCTCAGCTAGCCTGCTGCTTGCATCAAGCCCTCACTAGTAAGTGTAGGTCGTAAGTGTAGGGGTTCTTTAGTGTAGGACTGTCATGGTCGTAAGTGTAGGGGTTCTTTAGTGTAGGACTATCGTAGATGTAAGTGTAGGACTATCGTAGTTGTAAGTGTAGGATATCGTAGTTGTAAGTGTAGGACTGTCGTAGTTGTAAGTGTAGGACTGTTGTAGTTGTAAGTGTAGGACTGTCGTAGTTGTAAGTGTAGGACTATCGTAGTTGTAAGTGTAGGACTGTTGTAGTTGTAAGTGTAGGACTGTCGTAGTTGTAAGTGTAGGGCTGTCATAGTTATAAGTATAAGAAAGTTAAGGTTGTAAGCATAGGACTGTCAGGGTGGTAAGTGTAATACTGACTAGGTCGTAACTATTTATATACTGTAAAGTCTGACATGACAACAGCCATGGTACATGTCTCAGTTGTAGATCAATATATTGAGCAGGTCACTTTAACTTGCTTAAATTCTATCTTGGTAAATATATACGAATAACTCCATTATATTTATCTATTAATTAAAAAAGTAGTTTCCACACCTGCGGTAAAAAGTCATAATCAACTAATTACTTTAATTGCAAATTTAACGACACATTTTTATTTCTACAGACCATGAACCAACTCGTGTTTGCCGTTCTTGCCCTCGCTGTGCTCTCCATGAGCGCCCAAGCTTCCTTCTATGGTGGTCTTGGTTTTGGAGGACTCGGTGGGCTTGGATATGGTGGGCTTGGATTCGGTGGGCTTGGATTCGGCGGTCTTGGATTCGGCGGTCTTGGATACGGCGGTCTTGGAGGTTGGGGACTGGGCAGACTCGGATGGGGAGGTCTTGGATACGGATATGGTCTCCCTATTTGTAAGTAGTTCATTGAGCTTTACTTTCTCAAACAGTAGCAGCCTATTTGTTTTATAATATACATTTATTTGTCAGAGCTTTATTAACTTGATAAAAAGAAATACTACAATTTGTCTAGGCAACTATTAACATTATTGTATTGCTATCTTTTATAATTTTGTTAGCTAATTTTAAAAATATGTATGCACGATCAAATATATTTTTTATGGTTTGGATTATTCGCTTAGAGAAAACACAAATTTAGCTAATATTAAAATATTAATTATTGATTGTGTTTGTTTACTTTCAGACAAAGGCCTCTATTATTAAACGTATGGAAACAACATACTAGACAACCGTTGCAATATTAAATTCGCACTGTCCCAGTTTAATATTTATGTCTTGAGTCCACAATAAAAAATTAAAAAAAACTACCATCTGTTGTTTGTTTATTTTTGTGTGTCTTTTAAATTGAATTAATTTTTCAAAACAAGACTCTAGTAAAGAATCTCATTTTCTTATAGAAAATTTTAAAAGTTCATCATTGTTTAATATTTTAAAATGGTAACTATAAAATGAATCATTAACAATCAAAACACAACTTATAATTACTATGTAATATTATGCTTATACAGTATAAACAGGGTATGTTTTTAGTTTCTTTTTGGGGTAGATTTACAAAACATGAGTTTAATTGAGTGGTGGTACATTAAATATAATCAGTGTTTCTTCCAGACTTTTTTCTCCGAGGGGCACTTGAAATTTTCGGGGGGGGGGGGGGGTGGGCGGTAGACTTTCTTCTGGAGGGGGGGGGCGGACACTGTTAAAAGTATATATTTTCTATATAAATTATATAAATTTCATTTCGTTCGGGGGAGGGGGAGAGGTAGACTTTTTTCGCCCCCCCCCCCCCCCCGAAGAGATGCCTGGAAAAAAATCTGAATATAATCACACAACCGCAATTGATCTTTGTCGAAAAGCTTCTACCTCGTATACGTTAGTCAACGGTTCTAAAAAAATGTAAACAATAAGATAACAACTCACAATGGAACGACAGAATGACAGATTTACGAGGCAATCACAATAACATTGAACATTTAATACTTTAGAGAAGTTTTTTCACTGTAGAGACACCAAAGACAGAGGCGAAGAGTATACTCATATAGAGGGAGAAGAAATTGTAAAACTTTGAAGAAACTCAATACAGTAGCGTATCAAGGGAGGAGTTAATGGGACGTGTTTGGTATGTGTGTGGGGGAGGGGGGGAGGCAGGTCTGAGCCAATATATATATATATATATATATATATATATATATATATATATATATATATATATATATATATATATATAAAAAATATATATATATATATATATATATATATATATATATATATATATATATATATATATATATATATATATATATATATATTTATATATATATATAGATCATTAGTCCATGATATCATTTGTCCTGATATATTTTGTCCTGGTATCTTTTGTCCGTGAGATCATTTGTCCTTGAGATCATTTGTCCTGAGATCATTTGTCCTGAGATCATTTGTCCGTGAGATATTTTGTCTGAGATATTTTGTCTGAGATCATTTGTCCTGAGATCATTTGTCATGGAACCATATATATATATATATATATATATATATATATATATATATATATATATATATATATATATATATATTGTGAGTCACTGTCACTGCGTGAATAGCAATTAAGCTGAAAGCTGATAATACTGTGTGTTGTGTGATTACTTTCTTTTCTTGGTAGAAGAAATTAAGCGGAATTTTACTAAACCTATTTAATTACAGTATAATTGTTTTATTAAAATAGTGTTATTTTATTTTTAATACGTGTGAACACTACATACATCAAAACATTTACAAAACTCCATTTAATAACTGACCTAAAAACTGGAGACTCTCAGTAAATTGTTTACAGTACTAACTATAACACGATATAAACTGCAAATCGAATGACAGTAGTTCGATTAAATTTGGATTTCGTAAAATAGGTTTAAGAAAATAAACGACGAGCAACACATTTCTATTACATATAACTCTACTGCATCTGCGCAAGAGATCGTTATGCCTGAAAGGGGAAATTCATACACATTTCTATCTCAATCAATATCAGACCCCAGCGGTCAAAATATGTCTGATCGGAAAATTTTAAACAATTTTTGTTTCTGTGGATGTTAGGAAATGTGGCCGTATTTATTAATTTGCAAAAATTTAAATACATGGGTATGAAATATATCTTTATATGTATACATTCTCCACAAGTACGAATAAATACACACATACACACATTGTATACTTCTCATTGCTAAGCTATCTGTGTGTTGAATTTTTTCAATGTGAATTTTTTCATGTGCTCAATTTCTGTGGTCGCATTTTTCTGTCTGCGTATTTTTATGAGTGCGGACATTGCTCTTTGTGCCTTTTTGTGTGTGCGCACTTCAATCTTTGCGCATTTTTCTGAACGCGAATTTTTCCATTACGCATTTCTGGGAAACTAGACTTTTTTTCGTCCGACTTATTTTTACTTTGTTGTTTACAGAGTATAGGGGGAATTAATGTAAAGGGACAAATATAGAAATAATAAATTCGATGTCTAAAACTTCATTAGTTGGATTAATTCCAATTTGTAATCTTGTCTGTATTTGTGTTTGTGTCTGTCTGGGTATGTAATGTGTTCATACGTAGCTTGGGTACTGTTTCAGGTAGGTAGATGAAGTATTATGTATTAGTATCGTAACCTACAAGTAGGATTCTTTCAACTTCTAAAGATCTTCGGTAAACGAAATTGAACATTTGAATCATATAAACATAAAAAATACACACACTGAGGCTACAAACATACACACACAGAGGCTACAAACACACACAGAACAAATAGCAAGATGAGACTAAACACCCATACAAACTAAATTTACAATAATATCCATGCTTTGTTTTATCAATAAAAAATAAATAAAGACAAATGACAGTTTACTATTCAAGCTTTTAAAGTAAAATCATCACTTAACATGACATGACGTGTAGTGACACTTTCACATGACAGCACTGATGTGTACGTGCCGAATGACCCGCACACACTAGTACTACAGTAATGTTGTCTATAAAACAGAAATACAAACATGTAGTGAATCAGACACATACTTTGTTTCTCGACAAATGACTTTTTTAATAGGATTACCAGGTTTTAGTATCCTGTGGAAGCTTCTTCGATCTAGTGGGTGCCAAACGTAATTCTTCAACCCCTTTGTATTGTACCGGCATAGCCGAGAGATGGGTCATGATGTACAGACAACTCCTGATCTCTTCATCTGGTGTATTGGTACATGCCCTTGGGAGAATTTTATTTTCCAAGATGCAAACATCGTCTCCAGATGTCTTCAAGCTAAAGGTACAATATTAAATGTAAATAGACCCTTGATTGGTCAATTGTGTTATAAATAAAAGTCGTTTCATGGCATTTTGTTATGTGTGTTTTATTACAGGCTATTTTCTCATTTTTACACTAAATACATTAAATTATATGTAGATAAAATAAAAACTCAATATTTCAATTTTTGTTTTTTTTATTGCCATTTACAAACACAAACACTAAAAACACAAAAACAATGTCTTGACACATCGTCTTGACGGCTGGGATACTTGTTTAGTAATAGAGTCCCTTGTCTGGAAAATAAACATCAAACAATACCAGGGTAATCAAATGTAACACTATGTGTTTGCAGCGATTAACTAAACAAACTTTAACTTTGGACATAGTTAGTTGTGAATATTAGATACAAGTACAAAAACCCTACGTTTTAACTGGACGTTGTTCAAATAAATTAACAATTAATTAATGGCTGCCTAGTGCCTATTTATAGTATTCAACATGAGAAAACAAAATGTAATTAAATATTTATTAATAGTAGCTAAAATCAAACGTGGGTTTTTTTCTGGTTATTAAGAAAGTAAAGCTCAATGAACAACTTACAAATAGGGAGACCATATCCGTATCCAAGACCTCCCCATCCGAGTCTGCCCAGTCCCCAACCTCCAAGACCGCCGTATCCAAGACCGCCGAATCCAAGACCGCCGAATCCAAGCCCACCGAATCCAAGCCCACCATATCCAAGCCCACCGAGTCCTCCAAAACCAAGACCACCATAGAAGGAAGCTTGGGCGCTCATGGAGAGTACAGCGAGGGCAAGAACGGCAAACACGAGTTTGTTCATGGTCTGTGTATGGAAAAAATTAAGCCATTTGCACATAAATTTTATAAATGTATTTTTGCTTTATATAAATATTTACTGGCTTTTCAAAGTACTTTGTATGTTTTGCAACAAAAAATGTATTCACTAAAAAAATTAATTTTATTTCTTTACCAATGTGAAACTTTGGAAAGAATATTTTACTTTTAATACCAAATACTACCACCAATCATTACAATCTAATTAAGATAACGGACAAGCCCTGTGAGATAGTAATTAAAGTGGTGTTGTTCACCTGAATAGTGCATTCATTAATTACCTACACAGGTCTACCTTAGCCACGTTTTAATCTAATGCAGGTTCCATTGTTAGCATTACTTTATTTTAGTATTAGAAATTCGTTTTCTCAATCTTCCATTTTAGACCTAGCGATCTATTGGGCAGACAAAGTATAGACATGTCTCTTGACCTCTGCAAATGATTGTATTGTATGGTCAGGACTATGAACAGCCGCCTTTACTTTCCATAATGTATGCCAGGCACCCATCAGTGCTTGACTGCCTTAGGGACGTCCTTAAGTAACAAGCCCGAAACGATGAGATCCGAACTCGAAACCTTCGGGCTTGTAGTGAAACGTTCTGCCATTAGACCACGCCAACCCACCCAACATATACAAGTCTGATCATCCTAAAGTGTGCTGTTGGCTAACTATTAAATGTAAGTTTATAACCAGAAAGCAGTACTCACGCTTGGCTAATGTAAGTTTATAAATAGAAAGCAGTACTCACGCAGGTAGATGACGGGCTCAGAAACCGGCAAGTTTCTCTAGCTGAGAGTTTGGATGCGATGTTTGACCACCGTCCTCACCTGGCTATTTATACCTGAGCTCGTTACACCTGGGATTTGGTGATGCAAGGCCTCGGGCCAGATCTAGACGATCAAACTTTTTTATGAAGCCAGGATTTCGCTGTTTTATTACGTTAATTAATCCTTGAACTTTGACCTTTTTAGACAAGCTTTCAGCAATGTTGATGAACCAGAGGAAGTAAATATGAAGGTTCTCACGATTCATTTCAGGCTAAGATGGTGAAATCCCCTTGAGTATAAAGTTTGGGTGCTTATGTTGATGTTCATTGTTTTTTGGGGTTTTTTTGTGGTTGTTGTTGTTCAATATTAATCTAATTCTAAAATATACTTAATAATATTTTAAGACAAAGCAATGTCAGTTACCGTCTACCAATATACTTTCAATATACTTCAATGTAATCATTACATAACTAATCAGGATATGGAAGGATAAAAATGTAACAAAATATTTAACGTTCAATCGTATAATGTGTTGTCAAGTTTTGAAAATCACATCAGCAAACAGGACGACGTGAAAACAGACGAGGTTCTACAGCACCCACCAAAAGAGAACCTCTCGCTTCTCTAGCTACCCTTGCTTGATATACACCAAAAGGCTACTACAAATTCCAGAATGATCCTATACCACTACCCACAAACTGGTCGTCCCTATGAAGTACTAAACACAATAGTTACAACTTTAAAATCACCATGATTTTTTGCCCTCATCTTGTCAGTATAGAAATAAATAAATAAATAAATAATAAAATTATTCAAGTAGCAATTTTCTCGGTTAACCAAATAGCACTGCTAAAAAACTGCTTTATAAAAATTCACATCATGGTAGACGGTAACTGACATTGCTTTGTCTTAAAATATTATCAAGTATATTTTAGATTTAGATTTCTAGCATCTTGTTCTCGTTTTTACAAGCTTTTATTTCTGTCCTCTGTCGTCAGTCGTCAGTCTGTCTGTCTAGATCGAAACGCCCGTGTGAAATTGCAGGCACTTATAACTGTCAGAGACGGTTCGTAGTTGGTACGTGGGTCAAGACATAAAGACAATGCATCGTGACATTCAATTTGACTTAATTGGTTGCCTAATTAATTTTTTGTGAATTAATTAAAATTTGCACCGAAGTAGTAGGCAGTTTTATCCACACGCGTCATCACGGCCGTGTTGGGCGTGGAACAAGGGGGGGGGGGGGCTCTAAGACAAAAGCGCGTCATCACGTTCAATAGGCGCGATGGTTTTTAGTAGGGTCAACAGTCTAGTTCTTTACCACTAGACTTCGCCATCCCATAATACTTTACTGAAACTTTAGCTATAAACTTGACAATGGTTTTTAGTCATGTAACTCTATTGTAAATTAAACATGTAAAGTACTGAAAAATAAATTCATAAAAAACGTTTTAATAACAAGCTTTTATGTAATAATGCACTAAAAAGTAGACAAAAAATTATACACTACTATTTAAATAACTATAAAGAAAAGCGTGGGTCTCTTCTCAAATATTAGTAAAGGTATCCAATAGGTACTTAAGTGACTCACGTTTTTCTTTATAGTAATTTAAATAGTAGTGTATAATTTATTTTCTACTTTTTAGTGCATTATTACATTAAAGCTTGTTATTAAAACGTTTTTTTATGAATTTTTTTTTGAATGAGATTAAATGGAACTAGTGTGAAATTTTATTCAAGTTACTATTATATTGTATCCTCATCAGTTAACAACATATTATAAAACCCCTTAACTTTAACGTTTGCGGAAAACGCTATGAAACGCCTCAAATCTCATAAAATATGTAGATTCATAAGAAGGTAACTTTTCACCAAAACTTCAAGGCGAATTGAAAAAACCCACACAAAAAGGGCATCCGCACTAAACATAAAAAGTGTTTCTAGTCACGTGATGTTTAGTTCTAGTCACGTGAAGTGTGGTTCTAGTCACGTGAAGTGTGCTCTAGTCACGTGATGTTTAGTTCTAGTCACGTGAAGTGTGGTTCTAATCACGTGATGTATTGTTCTAGCCACGTGAAGTGTGGTTCTAGTCACGTGAAGTGTGGTTCTAGTCACGTGATGTTTAGTTCTAGTCACGTGAAGTGTGGTTCTAATCACGTGATGTATTGTTCTAGCCACGTGAAGTGTGGTTCTAGTCACGTGAAGTGTGGTTCTAGTCACGTGAAGTGTGGTTCTAGTCACGTGAAGTGTGGTTCTAGTCATGTGAAGTGTGGTTCTAGTCACGTGAAGTGTGGTTCTAGTCACGTGAAGTGTGGTTCTAGTCACGTGAAGTGTGGTTCTAGTCATGTGAAGTGTGGTTCTAGTCACGTGAAGTGTGGTTCTAGTCACGTGAAGTGTGGTTCTAGTCACGTGAAGTGTGGTTCTAGTCACGTGAAGTGTGGTTCTAGATGATGATGTTCCCTTGTAGTTAGCCCTTGTTGAGTCCTAGATGACTCGCTGTGCTACCATATTGTTTTCCTGATACCAATTTGCCTTACCTATACTACTACATATTTTACCCTGACCAAACAAAACGCTTGTTACCTTGCCCCCCTACATCACAATTTAACTTGACCTGTACCAAGATATAATGTTACTTGAACATCTGTCACAGTATATTTTACCTTGACCTATACCAAAATATGTTGCCTTGACCCCAGCCAAAACAATCATTACCTTGTTCGTTCCACAGGTTTCCCTGATCAACAGTAATGATTCAATCATCCAGTTAAACGTCGCCTTTTTAAAAGTAAATAAAATATCTTTCACATTACACGCAATGAAATATTTAATTTAAAATACCAACCACTCCTGCTGTAATTATTTAAAATATCTACGACATTACGAGTTAAAGTTCATGTCAACTTAGCCCCTTTCATACCTCAGGTGTTGTACAAAAATTAAGTGCAAACCTAGGTGTAAAGTCTCTAAGACAAATTACCGGCTTTAAACATTTAAAGTTAATCCAAGCTTCAAACAAATCCACGTAAATGTTCTGGTCGTCAAGATCTGGCCCGGGGCCTTGCATCACCAAATCCCAGGTGTAAAGAGCTCAGGTATAAATAGCCAGGTGAAGACGGTGGTCAAACATCGCATCCAAACTCTCAGCTAGAGAAACTTGCCGGTTTCTGAGCCCGTCATCTACCTGCGTGAGTACTGCTTTCTGTTTATAAACTTACATTAGCCAAGCGTGAGTACTGCTTTCTGTTTATAAACTTACATTAGCCAAGTGTGAGTACTGCTTTCTGTTTGTTCGCACATATATCTGTTAAGACAATGCTCGTGCATACAATTTTTAAACAAACTATATCTTTTTAAGTTACCTATTCTTTTTCTTTTTCTAAATTTTAATATTTTACGAAATGTTTAAGTATGCGATTTGATATCGTTATACAGTATAAGACGAACTAAAATTTTGACTGTAGAAATAAAATACCAATGCGTTATTTCTTAATACTTTTATGCGTGTTTCTAATTATTTTAATTGCAAATTTAACGAATTTTTTTTTTCTACAGACCATGAACCAACTGGTGTTTGCCGTTCTTGCCCTCGCTGTGCTCTCCATGAGCGCCCAAGCTTCCTTCTATGGTGGTCTTGGTTTTGGAGGACTCGGTGGGCTTGGATATGGTGGGCTTGGATTCGGTGGGCTTGGATTCGGTGGGCTTGGATTCGGTGGTCTTGGATTCGGCGGTCTTGGATACGGCGGTCTTGGAGGTTGGGGACTGGGCAGACTCGGATGGGGAGGTCTTGGATACGGATATGGTCTCCCTATTTGTAAGTTGTTCATTGGGCTTTAATTTCTCAGCAGCAACAGAAAAGCCCACTTTGATTTTAGCTACTCTTAATAAATATTTAATTACATTTTGTTTTCTCATGTTGAATACTATAAATAGGCACTAGACAGCCATTAATTGATTGTTAATTTATTTGACCAACGTGCAATTAAAACGTAGGATTTTTTAATCTTTATCTAATGTTCACAACTATTGTCTAACGTTAAGATTTTTTGGTTAATCGCTGCAAACACATATTGTTACATTTGTTGACCCTGGTATTGTTTGATGTTTATTTTCCAGACAAGGGACTCTATTACTAAACAAGTATCCCAGCCGTCAATACGACGTGTCAAGACATTGTTTTTGTGTTTTTAGTGTTTGTGTTTGTCAATAAAAAAAACAAAAGTTGAATCATTGAGTTTTGTATTTTACTTGCATGTAATTTAATGTATTCAGTGTAAAATGAGAAAATAGTCTCTGATAAAATATAAATTACAAACTGCGGTAATACGCCATTTATTTATAACACAATTGAAAGCGACCGATCAATGTCTATTTACATTATATATTGCACCTTTAGCTTGAAGACCTCTTTAGACGATGTTTACGTCTTGGAAAATAAAATTCTCCCAAGGGCATGTACCAAGGCACCAGATGAAGAGATCAGGAGTTGCCCATAAATAATGACCCATCTCTCGACTATACCCCTACAAATGGTTTGTAGGATCACGTTTGGCTCCAACTAGGTCGTAAAAGGTGCGACATGGAACCAAATGTTGGGGATCCTATCGCTCTAGGGGCTCTACATGCACTTGTGTGGTTTCTGAGCTTTCTAATGAGCTTTAATTGTCGAGGTCTGAACTCGGACTTTTTGGTTTACACTCACGCATTAAAAACATTATAAAGGTCTCAATATGAATGTATCATTGTGTTGTCTACTTTGCACACTCAAGTTACAAAAAAAAACAACTGATATTTGAAAAACAGTAACAAACACTAAAGGCTAGTACCGTCATATTTCAACAATGTAATGACATGTTTCATGAAGAAAGCTGATCACCATGATGAAGCAGTAGAAATGTGAAGCAGGGTAGGGCGCGGTTGGGTTTCTAAAAAATAAATCAATAATAAATATTGTTAATTAAAAAAATAGTTTTTCATAATCATGCACACTTTATGTTTTTACTAGCGTACCCGTCCCCGCGCGTTGCCGCGGGGATAGGAAAAAGGGTTTCATCCATGCGTTACCAATCCTATATTCTTAGATGCCTGACCTTGTTTTCTTTAAGT